GCTACAGAGTTTGCTATTTAGACTTGGAAACAATGAAGCTGATTGCATTAACTTGTCCAATATTCTGCTTGATGCCTGGGAATCTGAGATTGTTTCCCTGTGTACAAAATATCTATGGTAATTAAATTTAATGTAAAAAATAACTTGTTATCGTAATACACAATCCATAAAAATATATTTTAGTAAAAAGAGGGCTAACTTTTTAAACTCAGCTTCAGAGCTTTTAGTAACTAACAACATTTAAAAACACTGATTTCTCTTGTTATGAGTTCTATTTTACAAAAAATATAAGTATTTGAAGTTGTACAAAATAAACTCAAAAGTCAATGATGATTTATAGCGTAATGAACCTGTTACTTTAGGTGCACCAGTATAAATCACTTGAACAGGTGTTTCTTATTGCAATATTTAAATAGTTGAAGTAAGTCAATTTTTGTATGCACCAGTATAAACAGAAAATGTTTGATACAATTAAATCTAACATATTAAAATTTTTTATTTGATTAATAAACCCTTTGATTATTGATTTTCTGGGTTTTAATTTTTTTTAATTTTTGGTATTTATTATCGAGCTATATTGTTTATATTGTTGAACGAAATTCAATTCATAGAATGGACGTAATTTTAGCTTATAGTTGACAGTTGTGTTAACAATCTGTGCAGTCTGTCGTTTAAATGTATACGGTCTATTATAGTTTATGCGATGTTAAATGACGTGTCAATAAAGTAACCAATACATAAATGAAACAAATAATTAAGCCGATAAATAAACCAATAATCAAATGAAATTCCCACAATATTGACGAGATATTGAGAGAAAATTAACCAAAGTTCCAGAAGTTTTCAAGAGCAGTTATAGGGTAAAATCCTTCCTAGGTATATGTCCTAGGAATATGTGAAACAATTTCGTAAAGTTGCAGGCGAACATCAATTAGACAGTTGGTGGTGCATCAAGGTCATAAAAATCATTTTGTGATAATAAAATCACAATTGAATCCATTTTAATTAGTGAAACTTATTAATATAACTTCAAACGAATATTTAATGGTAAACATAATTGCATTTCGAATAAAACATAGATAAGCTTTTTGGTTTGGACGAATAAAGGATTATCATGCGCAACTGCGGTGCTCTATAATCCTAAAATAAATCCAAAAAGGGGTTTTAAATGAGGTTGGTACTCGCTAATGCCTAGCGGGATGCTAATAATATTAAAGCTTATACGTTATATTCGTTTGATTTTGATAATCAGTTATCAGTATAAACTATATTTGGGAGATTATTAATTTCATGATAACTCTGCCAAAGTGTTATGTGATTAATTTTGTTTGAAGAATCCCGTTGTTATACTGTAGTTTACTAAGGTTATAATTTAACATTTTCCAATTTTTTTTTATTTGAAATTTGTTTATGTAATTTACATGGTTCATTTAAAATCCTCTCATGTAGGGATGTTTTTTTAGTGTAATCGATTTATAACATTTTTTTGGCCGTATTAGAATACATTTATTCTAAAAATGCATAAAATTAAATTTAATTATTACAAATAGAAATCATTATGCAAAGATGGCTTACGAATAATTGTGAATTAAAACCATAAAATATTTATTGCAAACAATTCAATAGATTGAGATCATAACCTCTATCCAACACAACCAATATTACCAAAGTTTATCAATATTGTGCCATTCCTAGGTTAAGCCGAAGCAGTCACCCTTATTAAACATTATTGAATTCATGTTGAAGAATCTTAAACGATTCTCCTTTAACTTATTTAGTTATTAAAATTGTGTTTTTTTCGTAACAAGTATAGAATATTTAAAAACAATAAATTCTGTGTCTCAATAACTGCAGTATTTTATATATGTGTAAAATATATACAATATATGTATATTGTATATATAAAATATATACATACAATATATACATATATAAAATATATGTATTTTATATATGTAGTCTACATGTTCGTTGGTAACAAGTAGACCTAATTTTCATTGGACGCGAATAAATGTAAGTTGCGTTGCAAGTATGTGCCAATCAATCAGAATTTGTTTGGATAATTACTTGATGCATTTGGAAAGTCTACTATAGATGCGTCAGTTTGATGTTGAGACAAGCTAGTAAAAGTAGGGTATATAAACAGAATATTCTTGTACTAGTCTTTGGCTTTGGTCCAAATGTCGTGCTTTATACCCTTCATGTAAAATCCAAAAACATTACAACAAAGAGCTCAACATCAAATTGTTAATAGGGGAACGGAATTGAAGTTGTACTTTTCCCTAATATGTTTGTGCGTGTTCATATGCGCGGTAACTCGAGTAAAAACGATCCGATTTAAGTGAAATTTTCTCGTCATATTTAAGGAAACACTAATATATTGGAAATCAGCCAAATAGAAATTCGCAAACTCTGCAGATTTCCTGCATAGGATACTTAATTCAACACATTGATAGTTTAATTGGGACATTTCTGAAACGATTGTGCGCGTGATGTTTTAAGCGTGTATGCTGATAGGGATCTATGAGAAGTAAGATGTTTTCATTTACATTATTTCTATAAAATTATGCCTCGACACAATTTACACGAAAGACATATAATTAGTATGCTGTCGAGAATTCATATTTGCATTTCATACCATCATCATTTTTTATAAAAGTTATTTAGCTTGCTAGTGAGTGATGCATGAAAAATTATGTTCCAGAAAAGTTGAAAACAAACAAAAAGTACAACTTTTCAAACACTGACCAAGTGGCTTCATTAGTCAGCTTTTAAACCATCATGCATGATTCTGAAATTTGCAAAGGTAAAAGATAAATAGTTTCACCAGAACTGAACGAAATTAGTTTGACTTGATTAGTTCACGCATTTGAAACTGACATGGTGATTAAGTAAGTGATAAAAATATTTTGTTTCTATAAAATATGCTTATTGTTTTCATAGAAAATTAAATATATTGAATGTTTGGAGGTAAGTTATATTCAATTATATTCTCATATTAAAATAGTATGAAATGAACATTTTCTCCGGGCTCAATAGTGTATTGTTGGTTAACTCTAAATCTCCATTGATAGTACCGGTACGTGTTGTGCTTGTAAAACAAAAAGCGTATTAACAAATGATTTAACATAACACTTTCTGCGTACATTTAATTTATAAACCTGTACTAAGTAATGTTTAAAAATTCTCCATCGCCATTAAATTACTAATCTTCCTGATCAGATTGAAAGACGTTTTACACTTTATTATAGTTGTGGTGTTAAAAGTGTTGAAGGTACTAAATGCCACTGTCAGAAATATATTGGATTTCAACCTTTCCTGATTCAAGCATTTTCAAATCAATTATTGTCTGTGTACATGGTAAATATGACGTAGAAATTGACTAACACTTTTTAAGAAAATTACTCCAAACATTTCTTTTTGCTATTTAGTAAAAATAAAGTTTAGTTATAATAAATTATATATTCAATGTATTATATTGCATATTATACTGTTTGTTGTACTAACTAAATTTAAACATTATTATCTCTAACCCTATAAGAGTACGATCCTCCTAATACAATTTTACTATGCATATTTACGTACAATAATAAAAATACAACTTAGAAAGACTTTTCAACATCATAGTAATTCGTAGAATAAGTTTTTGGTAGATTTTAAATTATAAAAAGTAAATATCTTTCAAACAACAGTTCACTCAACGATTCAATAGGCATACTACTACTCCGTATACAACAAGAAAATACTGCAATTTTCCACTGTACTGCAACAGAGTTTGAGAGCAGGTAATGCAGCGTGATAACCTGATAACGGAAACAGATGATTAAATCCAGTGATGATTTGGCGGGAACTGAGGCGGTAAATGTGTCAGCTGATAACATAACAATTATCTCCTTTATTGTTCTGCTTTGCTAATATTGTAACACTTGTTTTACCGATATTTCTGATTATTTGGAAAATTCGTTTCTAGAAAACTATATTCATAGTTCAAATACCTTTCGCATATCTTCAAATAATACGAGTTGTATTATAATACGCGTATGTTACAGCTTAATAACCGATTCTTAAAGTATGTGCATAGTTCTCTAAAATATACAAGAGGTTATTATAATAATATGCCATTACCTTTTGCATGTCTTTTTGGAATTTCAGTTACGTTTACCTTCGCATAAGAAACATTAAACAACTCTGTATGGAACAGATATAAACAGTTGTTTTGCTAAATATGCATGTTTGAACTTAGTTCAGTCAATTAACTCATACTAAAAGTATATTTTTAGAGTGTTAAAAAGCATTTATTTTAATTCAAACTATTTCAAGATGTTGTAGTAAATGTTTTGGCTTAATTTGATGAACACAAAATTCCAAAAATTCAATAGTAATGGTACAGTCTACAAATATATATTGATATTGGTATCATAATTTATATTTTGGAAGAAAATATAAACATGTATGTCCTGTCCAAAAAAATAACTTGATCGAGTAAAAAGAATGAATACTTATTAATTACGTACAGAATTATCAACATGGAAACCAACATGGAAGTAAAACATTATGTGCCTACAGTAAACAACTAAGGGGACGGATACAATGTCTGCTTTACACACGTGATTTTACTGTATTATTTTCTCAAGTCAAGCAACACAGTAAAAGTCCATGTAACATGCAACGTGGTCCTGTCTTTAAAAGTGCTTGGAAAGATGGCTTCCTGTGTATAGTTGTAAATATTTAATCATCCTTCCAAGTTTGAGACCGTTACTACCTATGGAGTTTTATTGTTTGTTTTAAAATGATAATATTTAAAGACGTTAATATGTAGAATAATATGTGGATTATGTACAAAAGAACAGAAAATGATTTACTATGATGATATCTAAGCTATCAAAGATATCCATGATATCCAAGCTTAAAACATTTCAAATCATTCAACGTATAACTTCCAGCACAGAAATGTTCATTAATTTTGGGTTAAAAAAATTAAGTAAAACAGTCCGTCAATCGGTAACACACATTAATCCGTTTATTTATCGTAAATGACATTTGTACAGCAGCAGTCCATGAGGTAATAGTAGTCTCCGCACAACTTTCGTCTGTTTGGTGGACAAATCAGGTCGGGTGCACAAAAGATTCGCGCATTGTCTGTAACATTTGATAGAGTAGTTAATAATAATTATTAAACATTTATAAAATTGGAATGAAAACTGCTAGTGAGTGAAAAACGTGTAATCATCATCATTATCATCAATTAGGTAGTATACTGCATATCAGAACAATATTTTACCGATCTAAGTATATTTGACCGCAGCAAACCTATAACCGGCAAACTAAACAATCTGCAACGAATCAGAATTTAGTAAAGATATTGTTTTAAATAATTTTTTAATTTTTATAAATTATCTAAACATGTATTTGCCAAATCAACTACCAACAAAAGTTCGAAGCTTATAACCTCACAGGAACACAACACAAAATAAATAGACTTGCAATGTTAGGACTTGCTGTAGGATACTATGTTAAGTTTTTTTTTAGAAAAACTGAGATTAATCTCTAAAAGTTTCTTATGGTTCAATTTGTAGTTCAAAGTATTACAAAAGCATTATGTCATTGACGGGAACGGGTTTTTACAATATATTATCATAGAATAATACTATTTTAAGGCTTAATGGAAACTATAAATCAACGATACATTTTAGGAGGATTTTAAGAGGCATCCATACTTGTAGACAAAAGGTATGAGTAGCTTTTTACATTGTTATACATGTAAATAATAATTACAAACAACCATATGAAATAAATGGATGCATGAATTAAAAGCAAGCTTTTTTCCAAATCGACTACTTACCAAATGGAAATCTTCTACATCCACAACAGTATCCTAAGTTTACGGCGGGAAGAACACGGCAGTCCGGAACTGGTGGACAATCGCCACAGATTCTGGGGTTGAGCCAGCTGCAGCTGTCAAAGACATTGGCAAAAGCTGTAAGAAACAACGAACTTGTTATTACGGTTTTATTGTTACTTTACACGAATTATAGGAAAGTTTACTGGAAATAGAAGCCCCCCCAGATGTTTTAAATGGGGGGTTTAGCCGACCATCGATGGGTGATGGCTGTATGGAATTAGGATTATATGAAAAACTTCAACTACTGTATTGAAATTGAACGAGCGTTTACCGTCATTTATCACTTCCTAGTGTTTAAATTTTGTTACCTCTAAAAATGTTGCAAGATAGGGTGATAGGCAATTACAGTATAGGTATTCTCTGGTCCATCGACCGGTGCCTCGAGGGGTGATGACCGACGGACTAGGGCTGGGGATGATGACTCATCCAGCTAAATATATAGTGCAAATGTCACAAATCCTAAATTGGTAGCAAATCACTGGTGACAAATAAAACATATTCAGCTAGTCATATCTGCAAGGGTAGAAATGTAAATTTAGCCAGCTGTAAACAAACAATGATGTTCAAAGAATAAACCAGAAAAAGTAAAGAAAGAATTTTGTTAATTCGAATCAATGGTTAAATAGTTTTCGGTCATTAACCTAAATAAAAACGTGTTGATATAATTAACTTAATAAAAACATCCAATTGTTTACCATAAATAGTACAAACGCTGTTAACACCATTTGAGTAATTTGCCTAATGCCTTCCCTTAGACTGATAATAGGTAATTTTATGCATTGATTCGATTTCAAAGTTTCCTTTTTTATTTAGATAATACTAAATCAGATTTTTGCAGGTTAGTGATTTGAAAGTTAAATAATTTCCAAATAATAGTCAATCAAATAAATAGATGGATTTTGGAGCTAGTAGCGGAAAATATTTTGTCTAATGACAGTAAAAAGCCTTAGTAAACTGTAACAACTCCATTGACAGACAAATATTTATTTTGTTTAGCTATATATATTAACAAATTATATAACTACTAGCAGAGTACCCGTACGGGTTTGGCATGTAAGTATAAAATGCTTATTGAAGTTATACTCAATCTTTGCGTTTGCAATGGGGGAGAACACAGTTTGATAAAATTTGCTTCTTTAAATTTACAGTATACCTACTATAGCATTTATTACACATCTACCATAGCCATAATGTTCTACCAATTCACCAAAACAATAGAGAAAAATAAAAGTTATCAAAAATTTGCAAAATATCATTAATTTTTAGGAAATTAAAAACATAAACATAACTGTAAACAATCCTACTTTGATAGTAAGTTCTTATTGTGTATCACAGTTTTTGTTGCTGCTTAGTTCAAATGAGCTGTTTTCATAATTGCAAAAAAATAATAGTGCTGCACCTTGTTGGTAAATCTTATAACTTTTTAATGCTTTTCATGTCAAAGAACAACTTTTTTAGTTGAAACAGCTGACTAAATTCTTTAATTCCCTTTAAATATGAATACTCATAAGAATAACATGGGGAACTACAGAGCCACTGGGGTGGAGCCCAAAAGGATTTTTGAGATAAGAATATGCCTATATGTTAATCGGGTATGTCAGCTATCATCATGCCAAATTTCAGCCCAATCCGTCCAGTAGTTATTGCGTGATTGAACTTCAAACAAACAAACAAACAAACACACAAACTTTCACATTTATTATATTAGTAAGATATAAGAGTAAAATGGGAATAACATATGCTCAATGTCAGACTGTTGTCAAATTATAGAAAGCATAAACGATTGACAGCTATTAAAGGATTTTGAAAATGTTTACTAGTCAACTAAATTATTGATTAAAACATATTTTCGAATACTCGAAAATAAATGTAAATTATGTAGGCACACTATATTTAATTTTCTTCTCTCAAACTCTTTCTTTAACATAACCAACAACAAAGTAAAAAATGTAAGTATCTCAAAGTACAAAACACTGCCAGTGTACGTACCTTCATTTATAATACCGAAAGTGGCAATGGAAGGTCCAACTGCTGCAAGTAGCAGTAACAATGTCAAGTATCTTCTCATGATAACAGTTGTCTAACACTTCAGTGACATCTGTCTCAATATCCACAACAGCTGTTGCTGCCAGTCACGCCATTGACACAGACTTAAGTCACCTTGCTTACACTTTAAACCGTACCGTTGTTCGGAATAATGTATGTTCGTGCAGTTAAAATTATATTCTTAAAGTTTCACAGCAGGCCACTCAGTTATAGTTTTACCACTCAGTGCCAACTTAATTATTTTGGATTTTAGTTTGTCTTACTTTCTGTTCTATTTATATAAACACTGATCTTATTACGTGAAAACTTCACTTTTTACTCTTGATAAAACGTAAATTTAGACCGTTACCGAGATGAATTGTTTAAAGGTCTTTAATTTAAAAAATTGATAATAGAAATGCATATTTTTAAAATGCCAAAGATACCTATCCAAAAATAATAAGGATTTATTCGTTATAATAAACATAAATTACCATACAGCTGCACAAAAAATTAAAAAGAACTGTTTTCAAATTGTTAATTATATCTCACAATGTGAATGTAAGCAGATAACATTGTATACACTATTCTTCTAAGCACACTGTAACCTTATCGTTTACAGATAACTATTTTATAATTTTCGTTTGAAAACAACTATATAGGCCTCAACATTTTCATGATAAAAATAGTAAGCTCTAAATATTCATAATTATGAAAAAAACATTATATAAAAGGCATTATCGTAATGGTAAATAATGATATCACTCTAATAGTTTTTTCGTTACGAAATTTATGTTAAAAAATTTATTTTTACCTGTATAATTATTTAGAGTTGGATATAAAAATAATAGAAGACTAGAATAAAAAAAAATGATGAAAATATAACAAAAATATGTGGAAAAATAATAAAACTAAAATAGAAAGATATAAAACAGTTTTAATACAACATTTGGATTTAAAAGTTCATTAAGTACTAAAAGCGTAATTTACATCTGACAAAGCCACAACACAATATCAGTTTTTGTTGATGACTCGTATGTGTACACATTTCTAGGCAGGATTGAGTGGTGATAACTCAGGGTTCGTCATTATCTGATAGTAGCTGTAGGCTGCGATAAGATAATAAACAGCCAGTCCTGAAACACGAACAACTAGTAGGTTTTTTTACTTAAACAACGTGAATTTGATACACAATTTTAATAAAAAATGTATGTTAAAAGACTTTCGAGGATTTTAAGTTAAAAGGAGGATAAAAGTACTACTAAAGACTCAATTGAACTCCTTATTTCACCAATATGATTATACACATATATACTTTGATAACACCTATTTAATCTGTTTGTTTAGTATATTTAATAATAGTATACAGCTAAGATCATTCATAGCTTTCAAGCATAGATGTTTTAGAATTTTTAAGCTGAAAAATAAGAATACTATTTTTGAGAAATTATCCGACTTAATTCCAAAAGCAAGATATGTCTTACCCCTTATGATAAGGCCTTTACCCTTTAGTAAAATAGTTTGGTTGTTATGCACTTCTCATTTCAATATAAAATTAGAAATTGAAAATTTAAAGTTTTTAGTAATTTTTGTTATATACAAGATTTATTTCAGATAAAAGGTACGGCTTTAAAATATATTACTTGTTAATTATTCAATAAAATTGGACAGACTTGAAAATCAAGGCGTTTTCATCTGCAGCTTATTGAAGGATGACCTATGTCAATATGTCCTGGAACATGATTATTGTACATTTGTTTAGTGTTATAATTAACTATTATGTCATAACTATGTTTGAGAGTCTCAAGATAACGCAAATAAATGTATGTATCAAAATATTTTGACACTACGAACACAAGCAGTCAACAAATTACCCAAATAGGCCTACAAAAAGGATTGTATAAAGATGGCCTAGTAGGCGTAATTAATCAGTTAACCTAGTTTACACATACCGTAATTTATTCCTAGAAATGCTAGGAAAATGTAGACTTCATGGGTTGAAAATGTTGAATACTCGAGAAGTAAGTACAGCAGAAATTCCAGCAGAGTAGCGAAGTGAAGCAAAGTTTCTAATTTCACATACTCCAACACATAAGAGCTTTTTTTCTGTCATAAGAGAGACATTAAGAAAATTGAGATCTAGACATTTAGGTATATAGAACATTATATAGAATTGCAATTCTCGCCTAACTGCCTAATGGCTCAGTATTTTTTTTAATACTGTTGTATAAATTAATAGCCTATGTTCATGCATTTGTAATTATTATGAGATTTATATATGATAGCTATGCAATTTATCTAATATTATTCGTGTTATATCAACTCGAACTATCTATAGACAACCGGTAATCAACTCGAACTATCTATAATATTTTTACGAAGTGAAACAGATCTATAAAAACAAAGTTGCTAGTGATGTAACTTATTTTTTAATAAGAGTAAAACCCCAGCTTGTTTAAAAAAAAACGTATAAAGATCACGAAGAATGACTATTAAAATCATTGCTGAGGAAAAACAGTAAAGCAAGCAAAAAAGTCGAGAAAAAAATTAGAGGTACTTATTTTTTTTTTATTGAATATTCAAATCATTTGTTGTTTACTTTTACAAATTTCTTGTTATAGTTTTATACAGCAAAACAATAGATTGTGCTTATGGAAGTTGTTTCATTTAAAGTGATTGTTGAACGTAAGATTGGTTCTGAGCTCTTCATATTTAGAAAATACATAAAGATATATCATTCATCCTAAGAAAAAATTACAAACGAATTCACGTCTTTAAGATTGAAGACTAACCTTTGTATGTAAAACCAACGGCTGGAGTTAAAAGAGATTGATAGGAAATCGTCGAAGGAGAATAAGTGGCCTTTTTAGCTCTCTATTTGTGCGTTTGTTGCCTTTTCAAAGTTTGACTTTGAATGGGCTTGTTAAGCCTCTTTGAGAATCATCTGTGTTAAAAAATATTACTGCAATATTTTTATTTGTTTGTTGACCATTTAAAGTATATGGATTAAGTAATCTTTCAGATTGTCCATGTATTATAAGTGATTTTAAAGGCGAAAGCTAATGGATAATGGGATAAGATAATTCACACTTGTTAAGCAGCATTTAAGAAGAATATTTATATAGGGATTCAGTTTAGCAAGGTAGGCCTAATATTTATGTTTATTTTTAAAGTTCTTTCCAATGGTCTTTTATAAAAAAAAAACACCTTTAGAGATTTAGAATATTATACTCACCATGTAAACGCCATAGAGTAGAAATACTGCGGCTATAGTTTGTATGACACTTCCTCCCAAAAGAACGTAGAGAGCTGAAATAAACATTGTTATGAAAATGACGGAAAACAAGTTTAAAAAAATGAAACACTGAATTATCGCTTATAAAGAGGGCTAACAGGAACCGGTTTTTTTTTTCAAGATGGCTAATACTGTACACTGCACGACTGAAATTGTGGCGATTAGAGAGAGGAGTCATTATTCATTCTTTATTCATTCCCATATTGACACTGTGTGTAGAAGGATTTCTTCGGGAATCTTTCTTCTCCGCCAACTTTCTAAGTTTGCAAAATGTGATGTTCTAATTACAGCATATTATGGAGTGATTTTCCCGCACCTGATATACGCAGTGCCGGTGTGGGGGTGTGAGTGTGGGAAAACGTCTTTCCTTTTCCGACTCCAGAAGAGGACAGTTAGGGCAGTCTTTGGTTTGAAAAGAAGAACATCTTGCAGGCAATACTTTATTTCATCACAAATGTTAACATTTCCCTCAATATACATTTTGGAAACTTTGATTCTCATTCAAAAAAAAACTTACACCAATACCAATCTTCACTTACACATTCCTATTCACTACGTAACAATTCTCATCTTAAATTTCCATCTCATTCAACTACATTTTTCAAGAGACACTTTCATTACAATGGCATTATACTTTTTAATCTCCTCCCTCCCTCCCTTCAGCTGGAGTCGGACTTGAACAGCCTTAAAAAGCAAATAAAAAAAAAATACTCTTGGCCAAGGGTTACTACAGTGTTCGAGATTGTGTCGCTGATGGGTTTAGTTAGTTAGTTTTTTGTTGTTGTAAGTAATTGGTATTGTTTTATTGAAGCAACATTGTCTATTGTTTATTTTAATTTTAGTTCTATTAATTGACATGACCAATGCAAATTTTGTATTTGTTATTTTGGTTCAATAAATGAGTTATGAGTTATGAGTTATTATTGTTTTGAATTACGCCATTTTAGGAGCCATGAAACAGTGGACAGACAACGCCGTACGTTTTCCTTTGACGGTTCGAAATGGCGAGTCTATGACAACAGTGCAACGAATTTTTCTAGTTCAATTCCAAATTGGACCCTATGATATATCCATTCCCATCAATACAATGTTTAGGCGGGTTATGTGAATCTCTGGACCACGATGAACCCTCACTACTACAATGTAGCAGGAAGTGTTAACAATTAATGGTGTCATGAGCTGTTCGAACGTGTAATCAAAAACTAAAGGGATGATTGAAATTGGCATGCAAGACAGCGAATATAACTGGCTGACATTGTTTTGCAAACGAATTGTTAATCAGCTAAATATTCACTTTACAATACCTCACAGCACCTAAGTATCCTTTACAGGAGACAAAAAGCAAAATATTTTGTCGAGTAAGTATTTTTTTACATAAAGAAATATTTAAACCTGCCAAGCAGATGTTTTCATCGCCAAAGTATAAGGTTTCAATTACTCACTTTTTATACTGGTTCCAAAGAAGCGATGAATGTCAGACGAAGAAATTGAGCTGTCATCCAGAATTACTCCTATTAATGCCAGTATGGACATCACCTGGAAATAATAAATAAGCTTTGGGTTATACAATGTAGTTTATCAAGTAAACAGGCATTACATTATGTATAGGATACCAGTGCAACGAAACCTTAAGAAACGTTTTTGTAAAATCTGGGTTCAGTCTACTATTGATTAACCTCTCCTATTTCCATCAAACATGACTTTTAGACGTCTAGGGTAGTATGTTAAAAGAAATAAATTAATTCAGATTTTAATTTATTTTATAATAAAAACATTATTGAGTCTTTGACTTAAATAACTTTTTGATACTTAAGTCTGATTTTGTAATTTTGTATGTTTTCTATGCCTTATACATTTTAATGAAAGCCGCTTTTACCTATTACTTTACTATCACCAATTGCGATGGGGACGTGACTTATGTGCGTATTTAACCCAAATATGATTGAAGGATGAGTGTAATATGAAGTCTGATTAAACTTGTCTATACCACACATAGCTGAGTAACTGAGTAGGGCTTGTCTAAGAATTAGAAAGTGATCTGTTCAACCCTGAGATGTTCGAAACCAGACCCACTTTTCCTAAAAAATTAGGCTCCTAGCAAATGTCTCTTACTAATTAAACAGCTGATTTATTTTTACTTTTAGTCAGTAACAAAATTACAATGATCATTCCATCATAATTTTCCTTCCTGCATTCATGTTAAGCCTAAAATACGTACACACAATACGTCGTCATCTTAGTAAAATTATCAGGTGACTATTTGTATGTATTACTTGAATGTATTACAACTTAACATACCGCTTGTGTCCATCCCAACAATAACATGCCAGAGCGTAGGCTAAAACAGCAGAAGCAATTTCTCACCAACACCATTGTCTTGGTTTGATTAAAATGTCCAGGTTATCCTTCTGAAATAAATAAATATTTAAAAATATTTTAATGTAATATTCATACCAAAATATATACTAACAGTATCCTTCAAGCACAAAGTTCTTGCAAATTACACCTTATATCAGTATTAAATGTCTATGTATTATTAGGTATCCCATTTCACTGTATTATTTATTATCATAGTTCCTAGGTCTATCATACGTCCATCACATGTACTGTTTTCTTTTTGTTTTGTCTTGTTACCACAGTATTATTTATCGCGTTATTTATATCATTTATATTTATTGTTATATTTCCTAGGTTAGTCTCACATGTCTCTGTTAAGTACATGTTTCTTAGACTTAAACTTTTACTATTTATTCAATTACCGTATGTCTTGTATTATTCATGTCTTGTTACTCCTAGGTATAAGTAGTTTTTTTTCACTGTCTTAGAGCTTGCATGCATCCCTATTGTATTGTTCATCAGTTTTGCATTGTTACTTAGTTTTAGTATTTAGTCATGATGAGTATCTCACTATTGTAATTCTTATTGTAGATTGGTGAAATCCGTTGGCAATAAATAAATAAATAAAGTATTTTTAGTTCAAGTTCGAAACAGGTTTAACAAATTTGGTGAAAAACCCATTAATTATGCTCAAGGGCACCGGCAGACATTTTTAAAAGATTTGATATTTTATTGTTTTAAAACCGACGTATAGGCAATCTTTGTGCGTAAATCTATATTTTCGAAGCTAAATTTCCTGTCATTAATTCCTCATATTTTGCAAGATCATAAATATTTTATAACACAATTTCCAAGGAGAATACAAACATATAATATAAACATAAGACAGTGAAGTAATGAATACGGACGAAGTTAACGGCCCAGTGACTGGTGGAGTGGACACTGGACAGGCGCGGTGTTGGTGGCAAGCATATAATAATTCGTATTGTATTGCTCTGCACACTTCGTGTGCTCCCGCTATCTCCGCGTTCCGCCACCTCCGAACCTAAATCTGTCCCGCCATCTCCGAATTCTTGAGTGACCCTTATAATCCCGTCATCGCCTGCGTTGGTAGCTGTCATTGCATCCACGGCTGCGAAGCCCCGTGGATGGGAGATTTAATGAAAATTAAACCCGTGGGTTAGGTTAGGTTAGGTTAGGTTAAGATAGGTTAGGTTAGGTTAGGTTAGGTTGGGTTAGGTTAGGTTAGGTTAGGTTAGGTTAGGTTAGGTTAGGATAGGACGGAAAGTCTTAACGCATGTAGTAACCGAGGATTATAGGGGTCACTCTGAAATACGGAGATGGCGGGACGCGGAGATACTTGGCATAAATGCTGCGTGGTTGTAGCCGATAACTCTGATAAACTGATTACAATCTTGACGGAACTCCCGCTTTCTGCTGTGAAAATGTCTTTTGTCTAGAGATGGTACCACACCTTTAATTTTAAATAGCTCAATAACAAGACTGTAAGTAACAAGAATGTTGTTCAATAAATTTCCGAATTCTGGTCTTGTCATCAACTACATTTCTAAAGGTTGGAGGTTAAACAATTTTACAAGCCTAGTAATTCCACAAGTCACTACAGTCTGTATACCGTAGGGTGGTGACCAACGATCACATAAGCCCAATCTGCTCAACGCTCGCAACTGTTTCTTAGAAGAGTCACCAACTAACAACTCCAATTATTTGTTTTTTAATTTGAAATAGAGGAGTATTAGAAAACTATGATACACTATTTAGTCATTGAAATACCATTGAATTCAACAATACAACTATATAGACATCTTCATGTGTTAAACAATATTATCAAAAATATAAAAAAAAAATATTAAAAAAAGCGAGGAGCTACCTAGTTCAAAGAATTGCCATGGCAATACAAAAGGGAAATGTTGCCAGCATCATTGGTTCCTCACCCGCAGACGACGACCTTTCTTCAATATTTTATTTGTAAAATTATTGTAAAAATTGGTATATTAAAACATTCTCTTTTTTTGTAAACATTATCAAAATCTTACTGAATTTACTATAAACTTGAAATCAATCTTTTTAGTAACTTAGCCAATAATTTTTCTCTCTACTATTCATGCATTGCACGGTTGGACTTAAGAAAAGTGACTCTGGTTACACATTGAACTTGACTAACCGTATGCAATTGGTACTCGGGACTCGCTAATGCTTTAAACTATCTAAGCTGTGATTAATCTATCTAAGCTGTCTTAATGGCTGTCCAGGATGTAGGACAGATTTCAGTTGGGTATGGGTCTATTTCATGATACTTTGGCTGATTCGATGCGATGGCTTAGTCATCATTCTCACCTTATCATTCTCTCCGCTTACAAAACACACAAAAATTAAATATTGTCTCAATATTATGATAATATTCGAAAAGAAAATAGTATCAAAGTATGAATATAGTACGGGTAAATAGTTAACCTCCGGCCATTTTGCTATTTTAAATCAAAACACATCGGTTTTTATATCACTCTTCTTATTTTTTTTTTTAATTTACGGAATTTTATATTTTTAAGGATATGTTTACGAGGAGGGAACAAATTTGTAATTGTATTAGGGTGATAGTGACTTTTCGAGGAAACCGTTACGAGCGCCACCCTAGTGTATAGTACAGACTTCAGTATGTCGCAACTGCCGTGCTATCACGGTGATTTGGGGTGGCGCTATCTGTTGAATGACAGTGAAGGGACGAACGTGGGGAGTGGTGAGATTGTGAGGGGTGAGGGCGAGAGGGGACAATTCTCTCTTTCTCTCAAGGTCAGCCCGCCTGACCTTGCTTACCACCCCTGTATGAGGCCTTCATGATGTATTGCGTAACTTCGTAAAATAATTATACCACTATTATTCTTTACCTCAAATGTTGTATTTTAATCGCAACAATGTTATTGTTTACCAATAAAACATTCCTGCTCCAGGGCGTGATACGGCCTGGACCTACTCCTATCTGCTGGTACCCCTGATTAAAACTGTTAAAAATACTTTAAATCACCTGACCACAGGTAAGTTTAAGGTTGACCGAACTTATTCAAAGTTACTGGATGATTGAACGAAAAAGGATTTGACAATTTAATACAATATTACAATAAGATATAGGTGTTTAAATCAATTATACAGCCACCACTGAAATTTAGATTGCATTTTCAACCATAATAAGTAAGTTGGTACCAAACCTAAGGGTTAGGTAACTCGCAATTACATGTCAAATATAATTAACTATTTGCTGTAAACAAAACACAACTTAAAGTAACTGTTTTAGTTAAAGCTTTTAGATTTAATTTAATTTCTTCTAAACTGAAAAATAATACGAGACTACTGTAGTAGTTTCGTCTTCGTAGGTAAACGTAAACATAACCTAAAAGCGTTATTACTATATTATACGCATTAGGTGGACAACACTTTATTGATATAACACGATTAGATTATGCTATATGATAATGCAGTAATAAAGTATTACAGCATTCCATAAAAATCTTAAATTTATTGCACAATATTATTGTAGAAAGTAAACAACACTTACCAATTAGATGATGCGTCGTTGTTTCACAACCACATTACTGATTTACAAATTTTAAAACAGTGTTTTCACTCTCTAGTTTACACATAGTGGTTTTAAACACAATTAACTAATCTTAACCCAAAACTGTAAACATTCCAATCCAAAATAACGCCACACTGAAAACTCACTAGTCATTTAGCACTCGTCTCGATATTGTAGCTGTGAATGTTGGTAGCCCTGGGCGCCAGCTGTTAGCCAAGCGCTAGAGCTATTATTGTTTTGGCACCCCTGCACACCAGCTGATCACCAGACTAACACGTGATTCTGATTCTTCTAACGTTGTTGGTACCATCGATATGGTTGGTACGACTGCAACTCAATGACTCATAGATAGCTGAGCTGCTAATCGTCTACATACTGATACGGTTATCTAAAATCCCACTTCAAATTTAAATATAGTTTATGATCAGTACTGATACAGTGAAATACGTAGAATTATTAATTCTGTTATGTCATTGTTAGTAGTATTTTGGTGAATATGTTGACAAAGTGGATAATTGTTATGTTATCAGCTGACACATTTCCCGACTCAGTTGCCGCCAAATCATTGCCAGAATTAATCTTCTGTTTCCCTAACCAGGTTTTATCGTTGAGTTAATTGTGTTAAATAGTTATCTATTATTATTAGTTATATTATTATTATACGTGTGGTTGGCATAGTTCATTTTTTTCACTTTAATACTCTGCTCAAAATATACTAATACCCTATCTGATAAAATGCAACAACTTTATAGAATTTAGATTATAAAGTTTAAGTTTGAGCTTTTAAAATGTCCTCGTCTGATGTTTAATGATCCTTTTGACCCCTCTTAAAAAAAAAAATTAATTTTGTAATTACAAAGGATCCTATTTGTAAACAAATATTTACTAGACTACATATTCTTACCAAAGAAAGCTACCACAAACTAGGTCTAAAAACAAAGGAAACGTTGAAATAGACAAATAGTTATTTATTAACCCACAATTTCTTTTACCTCAGGAATCAGGCATATTTCATATTATTTAAATTATTCGTATTTACTTCATGACAAATATATAAGTAGAATCTACTCTAAAAATCCAATCAAGAGATATATTATAGCCTAGTCGTATACAAATGTTTTTGTTTCGTGCCGTGTACCTTATTATATTATTATAATATTGTAATAAATATTATATTATATATATTATTCTTTTACCTTATTATTTTTGGGAATTTAGAAATAAGTTATTCAGGAATGCCTTAACTTATCTTAATATTGCTTTCTAGTTTTTAAACAGTGTTACAGTTAAAATACAATTTTTCTGTATTGTATTTAAATATTTGTGACATCATTTAAAACTTTTATACAAAATCTGAGACATATTTTGAAAAATAAATAATACATAGTATGTGAAAGATAAATAGAAATTATATCATTGAATAAATTGAATTTTAATGTACAACAGGAGCGGTTTTTTTAGACCCATGTCTAAAAATGTTCGGAAACACTCTATCCAAGAACTAAAGCCTATGAGATTGTACTGTACATTTAAAATGTGAGAAAAAGGTTTTTTCAAAACTAACCAGTTTCAATATGATATTCTCTTAGGGGGTGAAAATAATCCAGTTTTGTTATTAAGTCAGTATTTCAAAGCCCCGACTTCTCTAAATCCATGAGTGTATTAGGATTCTTATAGCTCGATATATTAAGGTTTATATCTTTCAGACCGTCTTACTATTTGTATGAAATACATTTTCCAACACGTTTTACTGCTATTTCAAAGTTTTGTAGCAAATTTGCACAATGAAAACCCTAATATAATATTCTGAAGTATTTAGGGAAATAAAATGTAGGAATTTGGTTTTATATGATTAATACTTTTCAAAAACGAAGGATATCGCAATATAATATTGAGCATATGTTAATCGGAACCATCACACTAACAAGTTTAAAGTTCATATTTAGCTAAACAAATGCAAAATGTCAGAAAGAATTAAGTTAAAACTAAATCAACAAAATTTTTTGGAACTTTGCGTTACTCTATTTATCTGCACACGGTTACATAGCTAAACCTTGGAAAGCTGCCAACCAGACTGTTATAAAGGCACACTACTCTGGCTGTTTTCTTCAATGAGAAATATGTTGAAAGTAGTAAACTGAAACTGTTACGGATTCAACCTTCACCATATCTCTCACACTGACTTCTTTTAGATATATTTGTTATCCAAACCATATTTTACTTAATACTCTTTTTCACTCTTTTTAGTCATGGGCGAAACACTTATGTTAGTTTGTGCATTAAAAGCGTGTGGTGATCTGGAACGTTAACATAAATCATTGGGTCCATCCCTTCATAACGGAAAAACAATTTTTTGTGTTCCAAAAATCTTTTACGAGCACATGCGAAACCATAGTTTGGAGTTCATATGTATCAAACATTGTTTGAACACCACACAACCGGTAAAAAATACACAAAACAAACTCAAAAACCACTGGAAATGTCCGAAGAATATCTCCAATAAGCGCGGCTGCCGCGCGGTCGAACCGTATCGTGTGGCCACTCTCATAAGACTACGTGTGTCATCCCCTCCAACGCGGCTTAACTTCGCGTGGTCGGTAAAGCGACAACAGGACTGAATTTGACCTGGGCCAGCCAGAGCCCTCTGGGGCAGTCGTGCGGCATAATGCGAGGGTGCGACATTAGGACTGAATGGAATCTCCCCGTTCTCCCTGCCTTATTCCCATCACCCTACCCCCGGACACATAGTGAACTAGTGGGATAGTGAACGGATCTGCTCATGGAATCGTTCACTTGTTAGCATTCGTCTTTATTAATATAATTTAGCCGCTATTCCAGTGCCTCGCAACGAGATCAAGATTCAGAAGAGACAATTTTGGTTCCTTTAAAATGCCGTAAAATGGTTGTTTGATCACCCATTTTATTTAGATACTAAATTCAACCGTACCACTTGACTTGATTCAAAAGTCCGCTTTGTTAACTCAGATTGTAAACACTTATTTAGGCTACCTAGGATGGTGTAAAAGTAATGACGATGCACTCATTGAAATATTACATTGAGACCTTTATGATTTTATGTTTAAAAATACGCTTACTAACAAGTGTATTTACTAAAACAAAGTGTTGTACGTCAATTTTTACAACGAATAAAATCCTGATCAGCTGATTAGTTGACGTTCGAAACATTACAATTTTACTTCTTTTCTCTCAATCCTTGAATCTCATTGGTCCGTTACCCGTGTTGTTATGAGAAAAACTATGCTGTTATGAAATGAAATATGCTGTTATGAAAGTAAACAGCTGTTAAGTGAAACTTTTCAATTCTGAGAACTAAACTGAAATGGTTACTTTTAAAAAACGGTCGTGAGTAAAATAATTAAAGGGCTTTAAGTAGACTGTAATTGTGTATATTTAAAAAAACAAAGAATATAACAGATGTTAGTTAAATCATTCCAAATACAAATGTCATAGAGGAAACAAGCAATTATGAGAATATGGCAAAGAGTTTCTAACACCCCCGGTGTTGCTAGTTAGTATAAGATTCGTTCAGTTCCGTCATTTGTTTATGCTTATCATCCATAAGTTACCAAATTTTATGATAATTATTAGCCAGATTTATTTGTTTGGAAAAAGCTTTCGAACCCGCAATGGCACTTTTCAGATGAGTATTTAACATTATTTTTCATTACGATATCGAAAAACTTGTAAACAATACGAATACCTTTGTTTATTCAATATGGGGTCTGCACAGCAAAATCCCATACCGGTTACGTTCCGTGCACCACAAATGCACAGAAAGTTAACGTTATGTAATTTTGCTGCAGTAGCGGAAATAACCTACTGTATTTTCTTAGTTCATTTATATCAGTTCCGTCACAGTTCCACCACAGACCAGTCACAGTTCAGTCTCAGTTGAATCCAAAATTTCTCAGTCAAATTATATAAGTATAGAGTATAGGAACGAGTAATTTTACCATCGACTGTAACATAAATTAATGTGTTGTGGATTGTCAGGGTCATTCATTTGGTTTCAGTCGGACTTGCGTTACTATATTTACAGTGATATGTTACAGTGAAAAATGGTAAATTAAAACTTAATATTCTATCAAAATCTCATCCTAAATCTTGTCCATTGTTACAAACAGTACTTAAAATACAAACTCGGTAATTTAAATGAAAAACCCCACTATTTTTCTAATCTCAACTCAAACACGTCCGACAGGAGGCCGAAAACCAAAAATGTCGGTAGAAAGAAATCTGGAAATGACTGACGGACGCCGAGAGAGCGACTGACGGATTTGCGCCGGATGAGTGTATATAAAGCAATAGAAAATCCATTAAAGAATATTTTGGCTAACGGTGACGTGACTGATATATCTGAACTGTGACGTGTCGTAACTGTTGTGTGTGAATCGACCTCAAAAAGTGTAGGTACTTTCGTGTGTAGGGTAATGAAAATTACTATTACATTTCGGCAAGCGACACCATTTATTTATGTTTATGATCCATACAGTTTTTGTTTAAATATTTATGTATTACTAGCAGTTACCCGGTGCGCGCATCGATGTAGGCCTATAATACTCTTCGGGTGCGCGTTGCAGCGCTAACAACTATTATTTTAAACTAGTGCTTCTGTTGCTCGTATTCGAGCATTGCAAAGTATTTCAGGCATTATTTCAAAATGAATAACAATAATAATTTCCGATGACTTGAAAGAGTCAACTCAAAGATGATGTAATCAATCACTCCACTCAAGTTATCGAAATTGAAAACCATAAACGAATGAAAACGACAATTTATATCGGACCTCGCGTTGAAGCAGGAAACTACATGAAATTTAAAATTACAATATTTTAATTTGTTTGGAACGTATAATATCATAAATGTATCTTTTTATCTAAATATATAAATGACAATCAAAAGTGTGTCACTGATGTAGCATGTAAATTCAAGTAGTATAAATATTGTTTTACTTAAGTTCTAGCAATGTGATGGACAGTATCCTCATCCTCTGTTTAGCAAGCACTGCTGGAGGATTGAAATATATTAGTGTCAGTAAAGAAATGTTTTATTTCTTAAACAACACTTCACCATGACAACATTTGGTACCGTTAATTATTGAGATTTTCTATTATTTACCAACATCCCGTTCACCTGATGCATAGTTAACAAAGAGAAACGTCTGCGTCGAGCTAG